CGAACAAACTGAATTTATGTGCCAATCTACTTGCGACACAGAGATGCCTTGTTGAACACAGAGAGGAAAAGGAGCTCTGACTCAACCGAGAGATATGAAAGAATGCCAGAGTTATTCTTGCTACCTCATGTCTCCTATAGACTCACATACAAATCAATTCAAATTGGAGACATGAATGAATGCAAGTTTCTAATTGCTTTGCGCAAAGTCTGTGGTTTTGTATGTCAGTCACACTGAAGGTGGAGTTTGCATTGAGGTGCCTGCACATGTTTGTGTCTGCTTTGATTGTGTCATCATGTAAACTAACCATTGACAGGTAAATTGGTCAGAGCTGACTTTAACCGCAGTGACCATCCTGAAACGTAATCTCACAAACCGCCTTGATGACACTGCGCCATTAAAATAAACACTGGGGTCATTAGCAGTGGTAATTTAGTAATATTTGTGATGGAACTGTAGTGCGTTTTCTTTAAGATATCGTTGTGGTGTGATATCAATTCTGATTTATGTAAAGTTGACTCCTGGTCAACTATTGTAAAGTAATTTATATAGGATATGTTGAGGTTCACTCACACAACCCAAATTGTATTTTTAGGTCTGTAGAACAGTTAGTAAAAAGTAAGCTTTTGCTTTTAAACAGAAATGTTAAACTACTTTTTTTGTCATATACATTGAAAATATATTAAAGCAAATAAATAATTAGTTATGTAAAGTAAATGTCAATGCAGCGGTTAGGTACTCAGGCTTGCAAGTGTTTTTTGGTGCCAGTGGAAAATACACTTTAATTATATATTTATCTGTTTAAAATTGTAATTAATTCTACATTTTCAAAAGTTTTAGAATTGGTAATATTTTTTTTAAGTTTTTGAAAAAAGTATCTTATTTATTCTGCATTTATTTGTTCAAAAATACAGTAAATTTAAATTTTATTTTAATATATAGACATTTTAATATATTTTGAAATGTTATTTATTTCTGTGATGGCAAAACTGAATTTTCAACATCATTACTCCTGTCTTCAGTGTCACATGATCCTTTAGATATCATTTAAATATGCTGATATTGTGAAACATTTCTTGTTATTATTATTGTCGAAAACAGTTCTGGTGCTTAATATTTATTTGGAAACCATTATACTTTTTTCAGGATTATTTGATGAATAGTAAGGCTTTTAAAAAAGTTTTTTTTAAGTGATTATTTGAAATAGAAATCCTATGTAAATTTTGTAATAAATGTCTTTACAGTCACTTTTGATCAATTTATTGCATCCTTGCTGAAATAAAGTATTAATTACTTAAAAAAAATCTTTGGAACAGCATATATAAAATATTTTAATATTGAAAATAATTGAAAAAAATTATAATATATAATATAATATAATCATGTAAAATGTTGTAGTTAATGTAGTTAAAGTGCTGTAGTTAATGCTGTTGAAACGTTTCATGTGTAATATGAACAAAACTCTTTACATTAATATATACTTTTTACATTAAAACCCCAAGTTATGGGGGTCAGATCCTCCCTTCCAACCCCCCTGTATAATTCGCACCCTTAGTTCTGATTTGACGGCTACAGAGACATACGTGATGTCATTATTGAGCTCGGAAACGTTCCACACACTGTGTTTCCAACACAAAGGTCACGCTCAGAGGGTGTGTGTGTATGAGTGGAAGGAACTCTTTGCACCTGTGTTTTTGTTTTTTGGTGTCACTTTGGGGTGGTGATACACCCCCCCACCAGCACCATCACCACATCATTTTTTCTTTCTTTCTTTCTTTCTTTCTTTCTTTCTTTCTTTCTCTCACTCTCTCTCTCTCAGACAGAGAGCAGGTGTGTGGGGTTTTGGGGGGCTGTGTTCTGAAAGTCTGCTCATGTCTCTTCATTGACAGGCCTTTCCGTTCCTGTAACCAGCAGCACTCAGCACACGCGCGCGCACACACGCGCGCGCACACACACACACACACACACACACTCATGATCTGATGGTGTTTTATTTGTTCAGGATGATCGTCTGATAGCAGATCCATCAGCTCCTCAAACACTGATTGATCCTGTTATTTCTGTCTCTTCTGATCGTCTCGTCACGTCTCAGTGTGTGAATCTGAATCATGAGA